GAGCAACCACACCCTAATCAAATTTTATTAAATAAATAAATAAAAGTTTTCATAAATACTGGTAAGATGATTTTCGAAAATTGTTTCTCAATTTTAATTTTTTTCAGCACAAATCAAAATGGGTGACTACTATTGGTATGGTTGTCATGGTGAGAGAGATGTTACCATGGCAATTAATATGTATACGAAAGCAGCTAAAGCAAATGATCCACATGTAAGTATATTTATTTATTCTAGCAAAGATGTTTTGAAAAATATCTGCTTAGGCACCCAGGCCATGTTCAGTTACCACATGTTTAGCTACCACATGCTTGGATACCACATGCTTAGATACCACTTAGTTAGCTACCACATGCCTAGATACCACATAGTTCGCCACTGCATGCTTGGATACGACATAGTTGGCCACTGCATGCTTGGATACCACATAGTTAGCCACTGCATGCTTAGATACCACATAGTTGGCCACTGCATGCTTGGATACCACATAGTTGGCCACTGCATGCTTGGATACCACATAGTTGGCCACCGCATGCTTGGATACTACATAGTTAGCCACCACATAGTTAGCTACCACATGCCTAGATACCACATAGTTAGCCACTGCATGCTTTGATACTACATAGTTGGCCACTGCATGCTTGGATACCACATAGTTGGCCACCGCATGCTTGGATACTACATAGTTAGCCACCACATAGTTAGCTACCACATGCCTAGATATCACATAGTTAGCCACTGCATGCTCGGATACTACATGGTTGGCCACCACATGCTTGGATACCACTTAGTTGACCACTGCATGCTTTGATACCACATAGTTAGCCACTGCATGCTTGGATACCACTTAGTTGGCCACTGCATGCTTGGATACCGCATGCTTGAATACTACATAGTTAGCCACCACATAGTTAGCTACCACATGCCTAGATACCACATAGTTAGCCACTGCATGCTTTGATACTACATAGTTGGCCACTGCATGCTTGGATACCACATAGTTAGCCACCACATAGTTAGCTACCACATGCCTAGATACTACATAGTTAGCCACTGCATGCTTTGATACTACATTGTTGGCCACTGCATACTTGGATACCATATAGTTGGCCACTGCATGCTTGGATACTACATGGTTGGCCACCGCATGCTTGGATACCACATAGTTGGCCACCACATGCTTGGATACCATATAGTTGGCCACCACATGCTTGGATACCACATAGTTGGCCACCACATGCCTGGGTATCAGATAGTTTGCCACCACATTCTTGGATACCACATCGTTGGCCACTGCATGATTGGATGCTTGGCCACCACATGCTTTGGATACCACATAGTTGGCCACCACATGCTTGGATACCATATAGTTGGCCACCACATGCTTGGATACCACATAGTTGGCCACCACATGCCTGGGTATCAGATAGTTTGCCACCACATTCTTGGATACCACATCGTTGGCCACTGCATGATTGGATGCTTGGCCACCACATGCTTTGGATACCACATAGTTGGCCACCACATGCTTGGATACCACATAGTTGGCCACCACATGCTTGGATACCATATAGTTGGCCACCACATGCTTGGATACCATGTAGTTGGCCACCACATGCTTGGATACCACATAGTTGGCCACCACATGCTTGGGTACCAGATAGTTTGCCACCACATTCTTGGATACCACATAGTTGGCCACTGTATGATTGGATGCTTGGCCACCACATGCTTGGATACCACATAGTTGGCCACCACATGCTTGGGTACCAGATAGTTTGCCACCACATTCTTGGATACCACATCATTGGCCACTGCATGATTGGATGCTTGGCCACCACATGCTTGGATACTTGGCCACCACTTGCCTTAATACCACATGGTTAGCTGTCTATAAACATCACTACTATTTGTCTTGCAGGGTTTATTTAATCTTGCTTACCTTATGGAAGAGGGAGTCAACATACCAGAATATACATGGAAGTTACTGGATTTCACTGAAGAGCTATACAATAGTACAGATAAAATGATTATCATGACAGAATTATACCAAAGGTAAATAAAAGCCTAGCTATGTATGATGCCTTCTATGGTAAGAGTAAGGAATTAATGTCAAGTAAGCAACTCTTGAATATAGTGGTAGGAATAAGAAATCATTTGCAGGCAACCAGGGTCCGCTGGTTCCCAGCATACTTTGCAATTGGCAAGTAGCATGCAGGTAACTAGTAATTGCCATATTGTTCCACTGGGCCGGTTTTCCGGCCAGAAGGTGCATGACTGAGTGACAAAATTGAAACATTCCAAGTTCCATTCTGCGTAAAGGTGTCTGTAATACTACAACAAAGCCATGCTCATACATTCTGCCTGCTTAGACTTACATATTTGAGATGTTTCTGACATTCCTCGCTGTTTCTGTGCAAATTTATAACAAAAGAAACAGTTTTTCATTTGCCCAACTTTCGAAAGTAAAAAGAAACCCTCAAACGGCCACAAGCGTAAGAGCTGACGTCAGGTAACCAAGGGAAATAGAACAAGCAACAAGAAAGTGATGGATCTATCAGAATGCCGGATTCGTTACTAGTTACCGGCCTCTTGTGACTTGGTACGCCACGATACTTGAGGTGGGAACCAGCCAAGCAACCAGGTCTCATGTAGGATGCCCTCTATAGTACGAGTGAAGAATCAATGTCAAGCAACAATCCCTTGTATATAGTGCCCTCTTTTGTAGGAATAAGAAATCATTTGCAGGCACCCAGGTCTCATGTAGGTTGCCCTCTATGGTAAAAGTAGGTAAAACAATTAATATTATGACAGAATTATAAAACAAATACATCGTTTATTATTTTGTATGTAAACTTATTTTCAGATGTCGTAATCATAACAGTGAAGAATCTTTTGTGCCATGTAGTTTAGCGTTACTACGGTTACAGTTCACTCAAATATGGATAAAATATGGTATTCTTATGAAGGTAGGTATTATTAAAACATGTGAAAAATAGGAAATGTGTGAAATGTGATTTTAGGTATTATGAAAATATGAATTATATAAGTATTGTATATTGTAAAGATCAAAATTTAAGTAACCTAGCCTTGTTATTTTATGCATATTAATATTGTTTTTTGTTATTTTTGCAGTTGTCTGGGGGTATTGTGCTTGCAGTGGTGTTTTATATTACGTTGAATGTTATATTTTCACACCTTGGACATCAGCATATGACACAATCCGTATAAGATGTATAAGGATTTGCAAATAAAATAAATAGAAACTCGTGACAAAAAATATGAATGTAACCACTCGCCTTCGACCAAATCTTTTTCTTGTGAGAAAATAAAATACTTAATATTCCATTGATGAATAAAAGAAAGAGAAGAGGAAAACAAAATCTTATTCAAAGAAATTAAATTTTAATATTGCAAAAATACTATATGCAAAATCAAAAAAAGAATAAAGGGGTTTTATTTCTGGTATAGATATTTTACTTGTTACACATGATGTATTACTTGCTTTTGTCTGTAAATGTATTTACTAAACAGTACTCTCAGGTTCTTGTAGAGTAATAAAGTTATTATTATTATTATTATTATTATAGAATGTAAACCAAGTTCAATTTTGATGTAACTTGCAAGTGTAATTTTCAAGATAAAAGGGTACTAAAAATATGTGTTACATTGTATCTGTAATATGTTTACAGCCATAATAATTGAGTGGTGGTAACAAAAACACTGGTACAATTTGTTACACATAGAAATAAGTGGACAAAATAAGAACAATTTACACTGCTGATATTGAGAACCAAGATCCATAAATCAGATGAGTGTTTTCATTATTTTGTATATTAAAAAAAAGTGTACTTTTCCTGTCAAATCTGGCTAGTATTTCTGTTGCCAGATTTCGCTTATATGTTGCTGGACATGTACTATTATTTTTTTTAGGGACTTTTATAAACAAAATTATATTATTCTATAAGAGATTGAGATTAATGTAGTATTAATTAAAAAAAATGAATTTTAATTAATTTTTATGTAATTATAATTACTTCATTTTTCTTGTTCATTTTTGCCTAAATTGTAGTATTTTTCATGCAAAATATTTAGATATATATTGTTACATAGTTTCAAAACTTTTATATTCACTTTTACCATTCAGTACATACATTATTATTTTGTATCCATTTGTATCATTTGTTATTTCATCTTGATTCTCAATGGGTGATGTTGTAATAGTTGCGTTATGATTCTCAATGGGTGAGGTTGTAAATAGTTTGTAAATAATTTGTTTTTGGACAAGCTATTGTACTGCCATTAGTTTATTTATTTATTACTAAACCTTGAAATAATCTGGTATAATATGGGGAAGTATTTATGAGTAATATTATTATACGCTGAGTGCAAAAACCAGTGGCATACTTTACACTAACTGATTTAGACTTGGTGTCTTGGCATATATCGTGATTATTACATAGTAAACAAGGTGATAGTGTTTAACTTAATCTCTTCTGGATGTTATAATGACATTCTTTTTCAACTAATAATCACTAATATGAGGTTATTACGAGGATACCTCAAAGTATGCACAGAGACAGTACAGCTGTAGTATTGACCGACGTGCAGCAGAGGTCGATGCGTGGCATACTGTCTGAGTGCATACTTTTGAGGTATTCTCGTAATAACCTTATTATTATACATCTTTTCCTTCCAAGGATACACAATGGGTAGCATGAAAATACCTCGTAAAATACCCCAAAATTACGGCGCGCTGTAACTTAGGGCGTTATGATAATAATGTCTTTTACCAGTAAATTTTGTTAGCATATGTTGCATTATTTTGTTCTGTAACATGTTTTTGATTAAGGAGATTTATCCTTCACAGCCCCCACACACTCACCCCAGGATATGCAGGTATATGGATACAGTCAAACTGACAAATTCCAAATCCATAATATATCATATGTTCAAGATGCATATTTGTAAAATATTAAGATTATGTAATAATAATACTATTTATTGAAACCTTTTCTATGTTTTAGATTTTTGTTATATTTAAATAATGTATAATATTACTGATTACAGTGCAAATAAATTATTTTGGGATTGTAGATTATCATGGTTACCATAGTAATGGCATATTTCTGTTATCATTTAAGTTTCATTCAATTGCTAGCAAATTATGTTATGGTATTTCACAATAGTGTGTTATGTCAGATTTCTGTATGTCTTAGTGTCACGTAGCCTGGCAAGTTGGCATGGTGGTGCCCTGGACTGCTGCAAACCCCAACAGCAGTCCAGGACGCCAACTTGTCAGGTGTCACATTGATGATATGAATCTAAGATTCTACAATATTGTCATTGTTTAAGAATAAACATGCTTGTAAACTCATCATTTCTCATGTCTAGTTTTTTACCTTGCCCGTAACATCAAAGATGGAAGGGAAAGGTATGTTAAGGGAAAAATTTCTGTCTGGTGTTGTCGTCGACGGCGGCATCATCATTGTTGTCGTTAATTGTTATTGTGTGCACAATAACTTTACTAATTCTATTCTAAACTTTGTCAAACTTGGTTACCTTATTCATCAGTCTTCCCTGGATATGAATGACAGATGTCCTGTATGAAAATATCATGCAAAAATTGAGAAAATCTGATATTTTGACTGTTTCTACTCGACTGATCACTGGTGATACACATTCAAAGGTCACTGATCTCAGTGGAAATATGCATTGTTGTCTGTGTTATGAAATAGAAATAATGGCTGTTTTTTTAAACAACATTTTCAATTTTTGATATGGCAAACACAAGATGAAATGTTGGTTATTACCTTGCCTGTAATGATATTATAGTGGTGAGTTATAAGGTTTAGTTTGTCTGTTATTCTTCATTGTTGTGATCAAGAAAAATCAAGTAATTTTTGTCCAATCTTTTTTCAAACTTGGTTATGTTATAAATCCCTTTATATTCTTGGTGCATATTAATCACCTAATTTGCATAATGATTAGTCAATTTTTTTGATTCTCCACTGATATCACAAGCAAGTACTAATCATCACATTTCATTGAAAATTGGTATATAAATGCTCTAGGCCAATATGCAGACCTGATTAGTTTTGATTTAAAATCTGTTCATATTAATTACCGAGTATGCATATTTAGCCACTTTTTGGTTTTCACACATCTCAAGTACTAATTATCCAATTTCAATAAAACTTGATACATAGATGCTCTAGAACAATGTACATACCTGATTAGTTTTGTTTTAAAAACTGTGCATATTAATTACAAGTATGCATATTTAGCCAATTTTCAGTTTTGACACATATCTCTAGTACTAATTATCACCATTTCAATAAAACTTGGTACATAGATGCTCTAGAACAATGTGCATACCTGATTAGTTTTGGTTTAAAAACTGTGCATATTAATTACAAGTATGCATATTTAGCCAATTTTCAGTTTTGACACATATCTCAAGTACTAATTATCCCAATTTCAATAAAACTTGATACATAGATGCTCTAGAACAATGTACATACCTGATTAGTTTTGGTTTAAAAACTGTGCATATTAATTACAAGTATGCATATTTAGCCAATTTTCAGTTTTGACACATATCTCTAGTACTAATTATCCCCATTTCAATAATACTTGGTACATAGATGCTCTAGAACAATGTGCATACCTGATTAGTTTTGGTTTAAAAACTGTGCATATTAATTACAAGTATGCATATTTAGCCAATTTTCAGTTTTGACACATATCTCTAGTACTAATTATTCCCATTTCACTAAAACTGCACTGCTTTGGGTTAAAATCTGTTCATATTAATCCC